GCCTGTATCTTGGTTCGCGATATTCGCGGAATTGATCTCATTAAAATTGTAACAACTCAATCAGTTTTCAAAATTTTTGCATGAAATTTTCGGAATCGACTCAAAATCGCATTTCCACCTTATTTTGAGAACAGATTTTTGATTTAGGCCTCCAAAAAAATTTGGCGGCCAAATTCCAAAATTTTCCCGGAAAAATTCAGAATATCGCGAACCAAGATACGGGCAATTTAGTTCATTTTTTGTGGTTTTTTCGCCTTAGTATCCACATTTAAACAAATATAAAGCTATAACTTACAGAGAATATGTAGTTTAGGCTTACCTTTCTTATAAAGTAAGTTTCATTCAAAAATATTGATATTTGCTCAATTTATGGGACGAAATCTACCAAATTTGGTGCGTATGCCCAAATATGGGCATATGGTTTTTGGCCCATAACTCAGTCATTTTTTCTCCAATCTTGATGAAATTTCATATACGAGTTCAGGAGACCACTAGCTACAAGTAGAGCACCTAAAATCTGGGTTTTGGGCATGTTCAGGGTATTTGGCTAAATTGGGCCTAATTTGGACCAAATATGGGTGTGGCTGCCCCGCGGGCACCGTTTGGCGGTTGGGGTCCGGGACCCCCTCAAAAATTTCGTCACTGGTCCTAGTTTGTTGGTCAACTACTATCTCGAAATCAAGTTTCACAAAAAAATATCCATTGTCCCCCCCCCCTTAAGTTAAAACAGCAACTGTCAAGATAATAAATATAATAGTATTATAACTCGCTCTTCTCCATACGGTTCGACAACTTATACAATACAGGCTAAGCATAAGGGGGGACCAGTCTCCGTTCCCACGGTCTCTCAGTGTAGAAATGGGCTAGGTACATCATAGCTGTGCATTAAAGAGATCATGAAGTGTAAATTTGCGAATTCTTCAAAAATACTCGAAACTTGGGTAGTGAGCTAGGCTTGGTAATTCTGCCACAATCCCAAAATAGCTCCGTCATAATTGCTTCACAAGCTGAGATAATATGGGGTATATCAATTACATTTTTCCAAGTTGTGGCTAGGTGACGGGATAGCATATACGACATGTGTAAAAACACCTGATTTTAATTGTCCATAACAAGTTTTCTGTTGGTTTTTTTGTTGAACCGACAAGATTACCATCAGGTATAAACCATTATATTCCACATATCTTCCTAAATTTGGTGTACAGCGATTAATCTAGTTCCTACAAGCAATTAAAGACAGCTCACTTCATGAAATTTGAATGTAGCACGATCAGTGTTCAATTTGTTTACTTTCGTTTTGTACGGTCTTTGTATTTTAAAGCTTGCGAATGTGTGCTTTCTTGAATAACGTGTAATGTGTAGACACGAACCTAACATATGTATCCGTAGTCTGTACCCCGTAGATAAAAGTCTTATCTTCCAATTAAAGAATTAATAACTAAGTCAGAGCTGTTACAAATTTTCGCGTTTGTCGACTGCGGCACGTGTTTTCAGAGTATAGTAGGTCAAGCTTTGCAATTATGACATTACTAAATATATTAGTTTAGCTTCATTCCATTATCACTGCAACAACTCTTTACTAGTTAAAATTTATCAAAAGACGGTTGATGGTAAGACATTGTGCAGTCGGAGGTTGTAACAACCGTGAGGGAAGAGACACCAGTAGTAGGAGAAGCTTTCATTCCGTCCCAAGCGATGCAAAACGTCGAACAGCATGGGATAAAAGAGTGAACAGGGCCGACCATGAACAAGGCCTTAGATATTCAAGATACCTGTTTAGTTTCACCATCAATGATGCTGTAAAACGGGGAGACTATCTAAAAGCACATTTGACACAAAAAAAGTGGAGATATTTAGCCTACAAATCATTTGTGAATTTGATAAGCTCCCAAGATTTGGATAAAAAGGTTCGATACGTACTTCCATCATGTGTTGTGTCGGCGATCCGAGAAAAGTTTCCAAACACAGATGGATCAAGATATACGGGTTTTATCAGTATCGGAACTGATGATGGACATATTTTGCCATGAAGTTAACAAGTAAATGTTTGTATCCAGAAAAAACTATTTACAATTTAAGGTTAGTTTAAGTAATAGGTTCTTACAAACGTGTATTGTTATTTAGCGTTTGGTAATTGAATGTTTTTCTTCCTACAACATAACACAGCAGTACGTAAACTTATAAGACAATTATTTGATGCTTGTGTATATTATGCACATTATTCAACCACAATTTTCGAAAGATAAAAGTCAAATCTATCAAGTGTCGTTAATTTGAAGATTTTATCAATTAAATTGGCGCCACAGCACATGAATAAAAATGTGCGTTTTAACACTGTTTCTATTGCGGTGTCTGACAGTTAGCCACAATCCAACAAATTCGGGCGATCTTCCTGTATCGATTTCACGCGACATAATTAAGTTACGAATCTGGGAATTCCGAGCCCTATTGTTATATTAGTGTTTCTATGTGATAGTATATGTGAAATGTTTTGACGATTAAGTCGGGGACACTTCATGATCCCTTTAAGAAGTAAACATGATCTTTAAGATTTGACGGGAGCTCTTGCTAAAGGGGGTTCTCGTATTTAGGGATGTGAGACGTACGTGCCAGTCGGGACTGTGCCAGGACCATAAGTTAGACCAAGGGGTGGATCAGGAGCAATCGGGACTGTACCCTGGCTGGCCAGCATGGCCGCCAGGGCGATTGTTGATAATATAATTGTGGCTGATGTGGCTTTTTCGAACCAACGCGCATCAAAATCAAAACCAAATCAACGTGTGTATAAAAAGACATGATCTTAAAGATTTGACCGCTGGACTCGTATATCACATAAGGGACGGGTCGTCGGGTCCCAGTTTCCGGTCCCAGTTTTTCTTGGTCAGTTTCCGGTCCCAAAGTCTCCCAGTGTAGAAATGGGCTAGATACAGGGTAGAGTTCACATGTACATCATAACTGTGCATTGAGAAGTAAACAGAATCTTTAAGATTTAACCGCTCGACTTGTATATCAAATAACTTATAAGGGACGTGAGCTCTTGTTAAAGAGGGGTTCTCGTATCTTTCTCGTATCTAGGGAGACGTACGTGCCAAAGGCAAGTAACGGGAGTGAGCCGATCAAGTGTTCTTAGGTATACATACTGGAAGATGATAGCATTCTATCAACATAAAACATGCCTACCTTCTCAAAATTCATCTGTGGTCGGACAGGATGTCAACAGCTACTCAACTCTGATGGATACATCTACTCCCGGAAGAAGGACAAGGATTTAGCCCTCAAGTCTGCCTGGCGGTGCTGCAAGCACACTCCTCCTACGAAGTGTCCCTGTCGGTGTTATCTCACCCTCTCAGACAATACTCTTACATTGAGTCAGAAAACTCACAGCCACGAAGCAGACCTTATGATTCTGGAACCATTTCGCCAGAATCATTCGGGATCCGGAGTTCCCTCGAACCTCGAACATGGTTGAGGGCTTTCACAGAGGATTTAAATCCCGAGTGCATCGCCCAAAGCCCTCTGTTCAAGAGTATGTGCGAGCTATTAAAGAGCAATAAGTCATTACTGAATTTCATATCGACAGGTTGAGTGTTGGTAAGACACCCGCTAAGAGGCGAAGGACTTGCCATACCCAACTCCACGATATCTGTTCTTTCTACTCAACATACTCTAGCAAGATCGAGTATTTGTTTACTGTAGCCTCAATGTAGCCTCAAATAGACGACTTCAAGTCTCCGTCGTACTCCGTTTTATCAATTCGCATTAGGCTATCCATTATCGGTTTGAACTCTTTTATATAGATAAACAGATAATGATTTAGGTTTTATCTAGATAAAACCGATAATTTTTCTGCTGAAGTTAAAAGACGAAATTCTCTATAGATCTGATTGGCGACTTAATTAGGGTACTTTATTAATATTATCTATTATATTTTAATAGGCGGCGAAAGCAGCTATCACAATTTGTCATAAGACCGAAACTAAATGGTACCACTAGCTGTTCTACTCAAGCCAAACAATCAAGTTCACTCCCTACAGGTTAGTAATAGTAAACAGATAGATATTACATAACATCACTATCAGGAGAAATTCAGATAAGGTAATTTCTGTAATCTTTCAGTAATATTGTTTGTTTGTGGTATTGGTATTGGTATTGGATCCATTCTAAAATCACGGTAATTGTTAAGGGGCATCCTGTCTGGATTTCTGCATGTTCTGTCAAATTAAGATGGGATGTTGGGGATGTTTAGTTGGGGACTGGGCCCTTGATGTGGTATAAAATTCCAATGCTAATCAAAGTGTGTTTCAGTGAGAGCAGGCCGTATAAATATAGTTTTTAGCGAGAAGGATCAAACAAACAGTTCCGCAAATGATGAAAAGGACGATCAGATTTTTCTGAAACCAGCAAATATGGTTATATCTCCTTTCAATTTTGAGGGTAGGTGATTTTCGTCCACTTATGTCAGCTCTATAAGTTGTAAACCTCAAATTCGTTCCTTATTCTTGGACGTGTGATTGTTACAATCTGAAACTTAATGCAGGAAACATCATTCTAGGCTGAGCTCACATTTTAATGCCCTAAATTATCTTATCCAGCGCCACAAGATAGCAAATTATAACAACTACAATTTTTAAGACTCGTCAGCGTCGAACAGGAGCAGTCAAGAAGATACCTTCCATTCCGACTCAGATCCAAGTCTGCCTGTCAGTGCGAGGAGACTCAGTCAGAGACGTTTCACATTCGAGTTTGATCAGGCTGATCACACCTCCTCAACACCCATCTCTCTCGGTGTTAACGGGAGGGTAGGTGATATAAGTCATGCTAAAATGCTGGCGTTAACCCATGTTTAAATTACCAATTAATTAAATTAGATCACAAATTGAATCACCAATTAATTAAATTAAATCACAAATTAAATCACCAATTAATTAAATTAAATCACAAATTAAATCACAAATTAAATCACCAATTAATTAAATGAAATCACCATCATCATGTAGGCGCTAAAGAGTAGATCCGAGAGCATGGTAATGAGAGTTGAGGAGTTCTTTACCAGCCCGTACTTCCGAAGGAAAGGATATACCGCCCCCACTTCCAGACGTCAGTCCGAACAACTGCCTGCTACGACTTCTGCGGGTAAATTGTTTGTTAAACCTTCAAGATCCTTTATGGGGGGGGGGGGGGGGGGGTAACTACCTGCTACAACTTCTGCGGGTAAGTTGGGGGGGGGGGGGGGCTCTTTATGGGAGAAGCTTCTCCGCGTGGATATAGATAATAGATATCTCATAAGTTTTAATAATAATATAAATTTTGCAATATTATATTATGAACTGATCAGGTAATTTGAGCTTCTCCGCCACACCCCGGCCAATGCGGTTATCAATTGTGAAGCCCTTATCTCGCCTCTCACGAGCTAAATCATCTACCAGCAAGAGTATCAAAGGATTAATTAGGGAAGCTAGCAATAGGTATTTTCAATTGTTTTAGTTGAAATATTTTGTCTCATATCTTTGCAATAATTGATAACAATTAGCATGATAAACAATGTATGAAAATATAAGTAGTGGATATACATATTATGTATGTCTATCAGACATACATAATATGTATATTCACTACTTATATTTTCAAGATATCATCTGATATCTATCATAGCACAATATCAACTTCTTACATCCAATTATATTTCGGATGCCGAGTACATTTTTAAATTTGATATAAACGTTTTATAGTAGTCAATGGTCAAGCAACTTTTAAACTTAATCATTTTCTTTCTCTAAATTTAATTAAAAAAGCTTTAAATTTGTTTAGTAACCACGACATTTTAAGGAAGTTACTATTTTTATTTAGTAACTTGATATCTTTACAGCAATTCATTATCAAATAAAGTTGACATTGTATCTCAGATTGCGTGAGAAAAAGGAGTGTGAGGTCTTGGAACGGAGGAAAAGAGGGGCTATGACTGTTCTTCTTATGGTGGTCCTCTTCCTGATTTGCTATTTGGTCTGGCTTCTACTCTTCGCGTGGATATTTGCTGGAATGATTGACAAATCTTTGAAATACACGAAGGTATACTCAGTAGTCACTATAACTCTTGGTGATATCAAATACAATTGGCTTTTAATAAAGTTTTATGCGTTCTGGTTTTGTTACTTATCCTTACGCCAAAGAAAATATAAATTGTCGCGTTCATAATTATGATCATAATTATTAATTAATTATGTTCATAATTATGTCTGCCATAAATTAAGTCCGTCCACGAAATGTCCGCTTAAATAAGGTCTGATAATTTAATCCTAATCAATATTATAGATGGCGTGAAACATCCGTAACTTTCATTTGTCAATACTAATTATTGATAGTAATACGTAATGTCATTTTTGTACATTTTTCAGTTATAAAATACAATTATTGCTTTCATTTCACTTTCGTAATACATTTCCATGGTAAATTCAGCCGCAGACGTGATGAATAACACAAATCTCTTCCCAGTATTTGAGTGACAGACAGACGTTATATCTACTAACTTTATTTCCTGTTGGAGCATTTATAAACTCGGGAGTCAATCCATACATTTACTACAAAAGAAACACTGTGTTCAAACGAGAGCTTGATAGCTTGAAGTTTAGCTTGAATGTCCGTTGGAGTTCAGCTGTAAATAAAATCAGATTCAGACAATTATTATCCGATAATGAGTCGAATAAATGATTACAATTTTGCTGATTTATGATGTATGAAAATTATGCGTTTGTTTTCCAAGATCTTTACTTGGGTTTGATATGATATAAATAAATGATACTGTTTATGAACAGAAAAACCTGAAGTCCGCAGGTAAGAGTATCACTATCACTATAAAAATAAAAGTTAAATATGAAAGTTGAAGCTGTTTACCTTTAAAAAGTATATAAATAAAGACACCATCATTGATCATCTGAAATGGTGTTCGCTTGATCGAGAACCACCGCAAACTTGTCTACCACACACTCATCAAACTTACTCCATTGATCATCATTTGGACGCCGGCCATTTCACCTTGTCTCTCTTATTAGCAGGAGACTGAAATACTCTTGTCGAGGAAAGCCAGGTTATCTCTAGCATTGTGGTTGTTTTCCAGCTGCTAGATACTTCCGTCGTGAAGTTACAGGCATTACATGTTACAAGTTACATGCTCCAGAAATCGTGTGTGAGGGTTAAATGAAGAGCTGTACATGATCAATACAGCGAAAGAAGTGTGCATGGTACTGGTATAACACGGTTACACCTTAACCGTCGCCTTAGACTTGATTCTTCGGTTTTCTGTAAGTGCCGGTTACATCCCGTAACTATAAGTATATAGCCATGGTTGTCCAAAGTAAAGCATAAGGGTGGTCATTTCAGTATTGATGGCCCTGCTGCAGCGCAGCTAAAACAGCAAATAATTATAAACAAAATAAGTAAGTGAGTATCATTTTTGTGACATAATTAAAATATGTGACACTCGAGTATATAACTATAATATGCAATCTGGTGCCGGAAATTCAATTAGCTAATTACCATGCGTTGCATGATCAAACATATCATTGCCCATTTCGGTCACAAATCGGAGCTTAAATTGAGTTTATTGCAAGCGCGCCGCGCGGTGGACAAATTGTGTTTATATGCTACGTGACACGGTGTATGGAGGCTCTTTCTATATGAAAGCTTAAGTAAGAATTGTTTTATGCCTATAATTTCACTACTACCTGGCTACTAAATACACTGTATCTGTCAGATGAGTTCAGTTCGTATACAACCACTTTGAATTTTAATTCCTTTTAAAACTCATAACGGACCAGTAACAGACTGAAGTATAGCACAGTTTATACCTACCATACTATAAATTACATCTTGATACAAGCTAGTAAGATATCTTGATTCTTGATGCAAGCAAACTACAGTGGAATTCTTATTTAGGACGGCCTTATTTCACTTGAACATTTACAAATTTAAATTTATCACAGATCATAGTAACAGAATGAAGTTTAGCACAGTTTAACTACACTTAAACTACAAGCTTACAAGACTACAGATATATATCTTGCATCGATGGTAAATACGTCAAAAAATCGCCTGTAAATACGCCGTATTCAAAAATTCTAAGAAATACGTGAAATACGGCAAAATTTGGCGCTTAAATTCTTTGATGGTAAAATTTTTCAAAATACGCGCGTATCTCTATGGAAATACGTGATTACAGATTAGTGATATTTGCGCGTGCGTCGCTGGCTCAGTGGTATATAGCAATATAACTGACAGTCGTTTTGGAGACTTTATTTTACGGTGCTCGAATGAAAACGCTGCAGCGACTTGCTATTCTTATGCTGAACCAACCAATCAGTCAGTCTGCTGCAAAGCAGAGCTTCTAAGGGTATAAAGCAGTTATGCCTCCCTCGAGGAATAGACTTTCAACCGTGACCCAGTTCCAGTGCATTTTTATCTATTACAATATTCGCAGACTAAGATCACAAGTCTCTCTTGCTTGAATTTTGAAACCGGTTACCGGATTAACACGGACTTCCCAGTGGCATAAATTTAAAAAGTGACTAGGAATCCAGCCTGGAAAGAAAAAACGGCTATAATAAATTTTTAAAACGGCTATAATAATTTTTTCGGCCGGAAGACGATTTCATTTCACCTTGCTAGTTATATTACAGAGGTATTTTTAGTTATTCATTAGTTATTCATAATTGCCAAAAGTATGGGAAAAATGATCCTATCCAAGTCTCGAACTCGCTATCTGATGATATGGAGCTAGCGTATTAACCAATTAGTATAGGCCACGATTCCATATACTGTAATGTAATATTTATATATATATCTTCGCGCGTTACTGCAACTTAATTTGAAATACGTAATTTATCATCGGGAAATACGTATGCGTAGTATCTACGCGTAGTCTCCCCAAAACGCATTTACCATCCTTGATATCTTGATACAAGTAAGCAGATAAGGAGGAATGTTGAGACCAAATAAGATGAGCACAGCTGTCCTTAAATTATATATAGCTGCTCCACTTCCAGTTCACTAACATTCAGTTCTCTTTAAGTTTAAGTTCTTTGTTTAAGACTCTGGGACGATATTTCAACGAATGATTATTTTTTCATGACTCTCGCCCAGACTGTAAAAATTTTAGATCTCTATTAACACATGGTTTTTAGACACCTAAATATTATGTCGATTTCCGGGTTTTTTCCGTAAATTTTATCAGCCGGTTGCTTTTTTCCTTTTCATCTTTAACAATAGAATAGAATATTTTGATCTAAAAATGAACCTTTTGAACGACTTCTGATACGACTGATTTCTCCTTAAAACACGGTGGTATTTGCTTTATCAGGGCTTTAACTTAATCAGTTCTGTTCCTTTTACCAGGTTTCAGTCTCGTAACTACGTATTTACTTTTTTAAATCTTATTTTTATCTGATATCGATTGATATTTGTAAAAAACGTTGAACTATTTAAGTAATGTCATATTCGTATTATGACGATTCGTATTTTTAAAGATAAAAATAATAGGTTACGAATTTCGTAACCTATTATTTTTATCTTTAAAAAATACTATATACCCGCAGCAATGACAAAAGTATTTTGTTTTCTACTAGTGCTAGGACTGATCGCTCTGACTCAGTGTCAGACTCTGTTCAAACGATCAGCTGATCCCAGTGATCTTCAGCCTCCCCATGAGTGATCCCGTCCGTACAATTACAAACGGTAAAGTATTTAGAGTATAGATCAAAATGGCTTAAACCGAATCTTTGACTTTTTAGTTCTTTTCGGCTATAAAGCGATGTTATTCTTATTGTTATAATACATATTATTATTGATACTATACGTTTTAGTAACTATAACCGAAGCTTTAAAAAACATATGTTAATAAATGACCATATAGTTTTAAAAAGTTACATTGAATATTGAGTTTTATTTCTCTTAGAGGTGCAAAATATTGCAATTTACTTTTATATCAAAAATAAAACATACTCCTATCTATGTACCTCTTGTCAAGGTTCATAGATAAGATAATAGTTTAGAAACTATTCTCTTATCTATGAACCTCGATACGAGTATAACAGTGCAGCATAGTTTAACTACGAGACTACTATATCTTGAGACAAGTTGTATCATACGTGGTGACCCCCACTGTCGCTTCACTATAGTAGTTTCAACGATAGTCTCACTGTAGTCTCACTGTAGAGTTTCAACGATACAGGGGGAGCCGCGCACCCGTGCGCGGCGGGTCATACAACGTATGACAAGAGACAAGTAGGTAAACAAGGAGGAATGTTGGAACTAAATACGGTAAATTCAGCCATTTCTAACAGCTCCTGCGACCTCAAGTTCAAACTTCTGGGTTCGCAACTTCTTTCAAATAGAAGGTGGAGCCTGCTGCTTTTTTTTACAGGAGGTGGGGTTATAACGGTATTTGTCTGATCTGCAGCACAGATGGGGAAGTGGGTGGGGCCTACTAAACCAGGAATGGTATTTTGTGGAACAAGAGTGGAAAAGTACCAGCGTTCTATTTTTAAAGACGACACTGTTCATGGTGTGTTAATGGTGTGTAGCTCAATGTTGCAATTAATACAATAAAACCTCGATTTACCGGAAAGACAAAACCCGCGGTAAATCGGGGTTTGCGGTAAATCGAGGTTTTGGTCGGAAATTGGTCAAAAATGGATGGACAAGGCCTCAAATCTATAAATTTGATATTTCGATAGTCTTTAACTCGGGGAAGAATTTGTGGGTGTCCAACCCCCAAAAAATCATTCTCAAAACAGAATGTCAAGGTAAAGTTTGGTTTTTTTTTGGGTATTTTAAGAAACAAAGAAAATGCGGCCGACCTTTTCTTTTGTGGATGGCCGCTCAATTTCCCGATCCGTGATGGCGTATTTTATCAGATTCCATACCCTGGGGACCCCAGTCTTTACTGTTTATAAGCATGCAGATAATATGGCCGGAGAGTGATGAATGGCGAGCGCCGCCCCAGTTTTGTTTTTAATAAAAAAATTTTATATAATTCTTATTGAATTTGAAAAGCGTGTATATTTTATGTAACCATATGTTTATTGTTTAGTGCCAACCTGTGCCCCCATATATAGTAATACTAACTTCAAAAATAATAATACCTGTCTGACTTGTCTAACCAACACAGCCGGAGGGTCGTACTTTAAATTAAGATCCATCACCGCCTCACAAATCACCTTCACATCATCACCCTCTCCAGTCAGCTCCTCAGCGGGTGCTGGTTCCGGTGGAGAGGGTTCCACTCTTTCGTAGAAGAGAATGTAGGCGTTCCACCACCTCTTCTGAGCCCGCCCGATTGGCTTCTTGTCCGGAGAGTCTGCGTCATTGCTGTCTCCTCCGAAACATAGTCGAGCCATCTGACCCTCCTGGGGATAAAGTGTCAAGAATCAATATTTACCGCAATCAGACAACGAATGAGAGTTGAAATTTCAATAAAATTTGTATAACATTGGCAGAATATTTTCTTTCATCATCAGAACCTAAAATGTGATGATTTGTGATCTGCATTTTTTCTAATTCTTCTCATTATTTACCGAATGAGGAACGGGCGTACTTTTAAAGTTAGAACAATACATGAGATTAGTTGAACAAGTTTAGGTATTCCCGATAATCGAGCTACAAATGGACTAAGTTTCGGTTAATCTCACCTGATCAACATTACACTCGGAAACATCCACATCATCGAACCTGTACCACTTATCAACAACACCACTCTCCTCATTAATCCTCTGCTTTATGTAGCTGTAATAGTGACCCCCACTCGCCTGACCACTGTGTACCACCACACCCACCTGGAGATTGTGTAAGTCACGTGGGGTAGCATCACGTGTTAGTCACGTGGGGTAGTATGAATTAAACTAACTAAACGAACTAAACGAACTAAACGAACTAAACTAACTAAAGTAACTAAAATAAATAAACTAACTAAACTAAACTAAACTAACATAAACTAACATAAACTAAACTAACTAAACTAATTAGACTAACTAAACTAACTAAACTAACTAAACTAACTAAACTAAATTAAATTAAATTAAATTAAACTAAATTAAACTAAATTAAACTAAATTAAACTAAATTAAACTGAATTAAACTAAATTAAACTGAATTAAACTAACTAAACTAACTAAACTAACTAAACTAACTAAACCAACTAACCAGTCGATAGTTTGAGTGGTCTGATGGAGTCGGAATGTCTTGTCTATCACCTGAAACAGATATGATTAGAAACTCCAAAAGCATTTAAGAAGGCACCTGAATACAAATTAATTAACTTAATAAATTAACTGATTAATTAATAAGATAGTGACAGAAACCTGTCTCGATCATCTGATGAGCAGCGGTCTCCTCAATCCTGGACAGGAAGTCCACAGTGTACCTCTCCATTGATAGGGTGTCAGGGAACTCGAAATAGTCGTTATACTTTACAGCACACTCCCTCTCCCAATCATAGCCAAACCTGGTCATGTGACGAGTTAAACCTGGTCATGTGAGAGAGAGAGAGAGAGAGAGAGAGAGAGAGAGAGAGAGAGAGAGAGAGAGAGAGAGAGAGAGAGAGAGAGAGAGAGAGAGAGAGAGAGAGAGAGGGGCCGGGGTATTAGCTTGTTATAGCTTTTATTGATCTTGAAATAAAATCTAATATACTGATAGCATCTCACATAATCACAATGTGTTCGAATAGAAACCGATCGACTGACCGTTTGAGTTGAATAGCCAAGATGTTTGGCAGTCGCTGGAAACAGAGCCGTTTCACGGTGTCTACCTTCTTGTCACACAGTTCACAGTGGTACGCATTGTTCCCTTCTAACAGGTCACCCTGTGTGATGAGAGTGAGTTGAGAATGTGTTACACCAAACAATAAGCAGTTACATCACTGTGTGATAACATGTTACATCACTGCTTGGAGTGTGATAACATGTTACATCACTGCTTGGAGTGTGATAACATGTTACATCACTGCTTGGAGTGTGATAACATGTTACATCACTGCTTGGAGTGTGATAACATGTTTTATCCAACGAGTTTGGGTAGTTATCACATTGGTAAGTTACATTATATTAGCGAAAACAAGCGTGAGAGAACAACTTGTACATAACGGACATTTATACATGATCATAGCTTCATAGGAGAATGGCTATTTTTTGTCCAATTCCACCTGATTTATAGAACCCTTCGTGTCATATCTTCGATAAGTATATGCAATAGCAATATTTAAGGTGTAAGATTTTTAAGATGTCTCAATCAGGGGATATTTTTTGCTGTCGATAACATATTGCCAGCTTAAACAGAAGCAAGGTTTTAAGACGTAAGATTCAAGATGTAAATTCAAGATTTAAAGGAGGTAAGACTCAAGGTGCTACATTTAAACTGAAAAGTAGAAGATGTGATATTTGAGCTTTAAGTTAACTTTAAGGTGTCACAATATGTAAGAGGTAAGATATCTCACCTTAACGAATTCATCCAAACTATCTGTGAGATTCTCGTGGTTCCTAACATCTACAGAAATAGAAAGAAAGGGTTCTATCCGTGTGTACCTACCGGAGAAAGAAAGTGAAAGTGAAAGTAAAAGAAAGTGAAATCAATTACAAAGAAAGTGATAGATTAGACTTCCAAAATGTTTCAAAGTGACAAAACCTATTCAAATGAATTAAAAATCATCACAGATATACTTTTTAATCTCCATCAATCAATAACAATACCCCAAAATCTCAACATTCCCCGTACCTGTGAGGACAATCTTTACAAATCTTCTGATCAGCGAAGCTCCCCTCCAGCATCTCCGTTATAAAAGGCGGCTGCTGGAGAGCTTTAGTTCCCTCGACCAGGTTATCGAGAAGAGCGTTGAAGAACTCCAGACTATCGTGTTGCTCCCGCAGGTTCACCGGCTCTCCCCACAGTTTAAACGCTCTCCAGAAACCGTCAGGGGTGTAGTATTGGTGTTTTGATTCTTTTAGAGCACAGAATATTGATTGAACCTGTGATGGAGTTTAGGTCAATTCTTGACAAGAATGTCTCAGTTGGGGGGGTTGCAACGACCATTAATGACCATTAATGACCATTAATGACCATTAATGACCATTAATGACCATTAATGACCATTAATGACCATTAATGACAATGTCAGTTTTGTCAAAATTTCATCTACTGACATTAATGGTCATGTTTTTTCCGGCACTTCTTAGAGCGAAAAGGACGGACGCCTGCATCATTTAGACCCTACCTTAAGTTAACTAACTACAAGTATATGTTATTATTTTACATTTACAATTAGAGATTCGAAAGAGAAAACTTAGAATAGAATCTTCCGTGGTTAGGCAAACCTTCCAGAATATCACTTGAGTGGATTCCAGAGTGAGTTAGGGATTACATTTATTAAGTTCGAATGTAATGAAGAACAAATTTTTCGGCCACGGGATTTAAACCAGATAACAGTTGGTGACTTATTATAGTTATCAATAATAATAATTCAAAGGGCAATTTAGGAGTATCAGATCGTATCAATAGTAAAATAACAATCAATAATAAAATAATAATAACACGGGTATTAAAATTAAATACTTCGTTCCCGTTCTTATATCATATCAAGATTTATATTTAGGCCAAATCATTATGCTAGTCGATTATATAGTAATTACACAGTAGATGAACTTATTCAACTTTAGCACTTCATGAAATACATCGTCATCAGTCTGAATCGGACAACAAAAAAGCTGATCTTTTCCTAGGATTAGATAGAACAATTCGTTTATAGTTCAATACTCTGCCTTCGGCAGTTTTGACCCAAAATCGAGCACTGTCATCATGATAGGGACAAATTGATGCGGCAGGAATTCGTCTAGATCTGCAGTTGCCCTTTTTTGAAGCAGATACACTCATTGATAAAATGGTACCGAGGCAACGAAGGGGACGTTTAGCCTTTTTTGGAACAAAGGTAGCACTTAATGAGTCGCCCTTTCGAATTGTTCGACGTTGACAGGGCTTAGAAGAATTTGTGCAGCCCGGTTGGTATGGCACAGAACCCTCGAAACAGCCGGTACCAAAAAATTTCGATCTCCGACTTTTATTTCCAAATATCGTCTTACCAAAATTACAGAACTTCGTAATAGAGGTGTTTTTGTTCATTTTCTTGTTTTTTATAGTAACTAAGTCATGAAGATCCTTGTCTTCACTTTCACTATCTGGTGCGACGAATTTCAATTATTTAATGACCATTAATGACCATTAATGACCATTAATGACCATTAATGACCATTAATGACCATTAATGACCATTAATGACCATTAATGACCATTAATGACAATGTCAGTTTTGACAAAATTCCATCTACTGACATTAATGGTCGTTGCAACCCCCCCTCTCAGTTACCATGACAACACTATGAAATGGACTATACTTTTATTTCAAGATGACTTGGACAAAGGTTTCGGAAACAGTAATTCATTAAACAGTAATTAGTTAAACAGCTTTATAGTTGAATATATATAAAGTATTATTATGGTCCTGAAACCTTGCTGTATTATAAAAGCACAAGAACCGACCTGTTTAGCAACACCGAGGTGATGAAGCTTAGCTGGGGACATCTCCCCCTCCTCCCCCTCCTCGCCCTCCTTCCTTTCGTCCCCCTCCTCCTCTTCGCTCCCATCCTCCTCCAAACAAGGCAAAGATAGCAGGTTAGCTCGGATATGGGGGATCATGTAGAGCTGTTGCAGAACTGCGTTCATGTAACAGGTCGCTCCGCCGTTCTTTAGTCCAACAAATCCTACGGGTAGTTCATTGTGATTCCAGCGACCTGTTGCAGAACTGCGTTCATGTAACAGGTCGCTCCGCCGTTCTTTAGTCCAACAAATCCTACGGGTAGTTCATTGTGATTCCAGCGACCTGTTGCAGAACTGCGTTCATGTAACAGGTCGCTCCGCCGTTCTTTAGTCCAACAAATCCTACGGGTAGTTCATTGTGATTCCAGCGACCTGTTGCAGAACTGCGTTCATGTAACAGGTCGCTCCGCCGTTCTTTAGTCCAACAAATCCTACGGGTAGTTCATTGTGATTCCAGCGACCTGTTGCAGAACTGCGTTCATGTAACAGGTCGCTCCGCCGTTCTTTAGTCCAACAAATCCTACGGGTAGTTCATTGTGATTCCAGCGACCTGTTGCAGAACTGCGTTCATGTAACAGGTCGCTCCGCCGTTCTTTAGTCCAACAAATCCTACGGGTAGTTCATTGTGATTCCAGCGACGTGATTATCAATATCGTTGTATATAACCTAGTGATAAACCTACCTTTTGGGTTCCTAGGGTGGATAGAAGGTGGAAATTCCCAGGAGTTGAGTAAGTTCTGTTCGGAGTAGAACAGCTCTTTCGTGGAGTTAACGACAAATCCAAGGTTTTCTAAGCAGCCTTTACACAGTGCTCCAACTAGATTAAATGCAGCTTCCTGGAGAGTGGGTGTATTGATTACAAGGATGAAATCTTCAGTGCTCAGGACACAAAACAATGATTATCAGTACTTCGTATCAAACCAAATGTCGTAGAGAATATCCCGTTATATTTACACAACTGACCTGTGTTTGAGGGGTCTGGCAGATTGGAAGATCGTCTCTAATCTCAATATCAGGAAACCTTCTCTGATCCAACAACATCTAAAAAAATTAATCACATCAACACAGTCTCAAACGAAAATAAAGCGTTAAAAAATCTACCAAATAGGATGAAATAGAACACATAATCTCCAGAGCACGTTTTACCTTGCTTGCAGGGAAGAGATAATTGAAGAGGAGAGAGGGAAGAAGTAAAGGTCCGTTATCTTGGCTACCCAGCAACAGTTTAGTGGGCAGAGAAGAGATTGAAACCAGCTCTCGGCAGATCTGGAGATGCCCTGGAGAATATTACTGGTTTGAAATTGTTATCATCTGGAGATGCCCTGGAGAATATTGCTGGTTTGAAATTGTTATCATCTGGAGATGTCCTGGAGAATATAACTGGTTTGAAATTGTTATCATCTGGAGATGTCCTGGAGAATATAACTGGTTTGAAGTTGTTATCATCTGGAGATGCCCTGGAGAATATTACTGGTTTGAAGTTGTTATCATCTGGAGATGTCCTGGAGAATATAACTGGTTTGAAGTTGTTATCATCTGGAGATGTCCTGGAGAATATTACTGGTTTGAAGTTGTTATCATCTGGAGATGTCCTGGAGAATATTGCTGGTTTGAAATTGTTATCATCTGGAGATGCCCTGGAGAATATTACTGGTTTGAAGTTGTTATCATCTGGAGATGCCCTGGAGAATATTGCTGGTTTGAAATTGTTATCATCTGGAGATGCCCTGGAGAATATTACTGGTTTGAAGTTGTTATCATCTGGAGATGCCCTGGAGAATATTACTGGTTTGAAGTTGTTATCATCTGGAGATGCCCTGGAGAATATTACTGGTTTGAAATTGTTATCATCTGGAGATGTCCTGGAGAATATTACTGGTTTGAAGTTGTTATCATCTGGAGATGCCCTGGAGAATATAACTGGTTTGAAATTGTTATCATCTGGAGATGCCCTGGAGAATATAACTGGTTTGAAATTGTTATCATCTGGAGATGCCCTGGAGAATATTACTGGTTTGAAGTTGTTATCATCTGGAGATGCCCTGGAGAATATAACTGGTTTGAAATTGTTATCATCTGGAGATGCCCTGGAGAATATTACTGGTTTGAAGTTGTTATCATCTGGAGATGTCCTGGAGAATATTACTGGTTTGAAGTTGTTATCATCTGGAGATGTCCTGGAGAATATAACTGGTTTGAAATTGTTATCATCTGGAGATGCCCTGGAGAATATAACTGGTTTGAAGTTGTTATCATCTGGAGATGCCCTGGAGAATATAACTGGTTTGAAGTTGTTATCATCTGGAGATGCCCTGGAGAATATTACTGGTTTGAAGTTGTTATCATCTGGAGATGCCCTGGAGAATATAACTGGTTTGAAGTTGTTATCATCTGGAGATGCCCTGGAGAATATTACTGGTTTGAAATTGTTATCATCTGGAGATGCCCTGGAGAATATAACTGGTTTGAAATTGTTATCATCTGGAGATGTCCTGGAGAATATAACTGGTTTGAAGTTGTTATCATCTGGAGATGTCCTGGAGAATATAACTGGTTTGAAGTTGTTATCATCTGGAGATGCCCTGGAGAATATTGCTGGTTTGAAATTGTTATCATCTGGAGATGTCCTGGAGAATATTACTGGTTTGAAGTTGTTATCATCTGGAGATGTCCTGGAGAATATAACTGGTTTGAAATTGTTATCATCTGGAGATGTCCTGGAGAATATAACTGGTTTGAAATTGTTATCATCTGGAGATGTCCTGGAGAATATAACTGGTTTGAAGTTGTTATCATCTGGAGATGTCCTGGAGAATATAACTGGTTTGAAATTGTTATCATCTGGAGATGTCCTGGAGAATATTGCTGGTTTGAAATTGTTATCATCTGGAGATGTCCTGGAGAATATTACTGGTTTGAAATTGTTATCATCTGGAGATGTCCTGGAGAATATAACTGGTTTGAAATTGTTATCATCTGGAGATGTCCTGGAGAATATAACTGGTTTGAAATTGTTATCATCTGGAGATGTCCTGGAGAATATAACTGGTTTGAAATTGTTATCATCTGGAGATGCCCTGGAGAATATAACTGGTTTGAAATTGTTATCATCTGGAGATGTCCTGGAGAATATAACTGGTTTGAAGTTGTTATCATCTGGAGATGTCCTGGAGAATATAACTGGTTTGAAATTGTTATCATCTGGAGATGTCCTGGAGAATATTGCTGGTTTGAAATTGTTATCATCTGGAGATGTCCTGGAGAATATTACTGGTTTGAAATTGTTATCATCTGGAGATGTCCTGGAGAATATAACTGGTTTGAAATTGTTATCATCTGGAGATGTCCTGGAGAATATAACTGGTTTGAAGTTGTTATCATCTGGAGATGTCCTGGAGAATATAACTGGTTTGAAGTTGTTATCATCTGGAGATGCCCTGGAGAATATTACTGGTTTGAAATTGTTATCATCTGGAGATGTCCTGGAGAATATTACTGGTTTGAAGTTGTTATCATCTGGAGATGTCCTGGAGAATATTACTGGTTTGAAATTGTTATCATCTGGAGATGCCCTGGAGAATATTACTGGTTTGAAATTGTTATCATCTGGAGATGTCCTGGAGAATATTACTGGTTTGAAGTTGTTATCATCTGGAGATGCCCTGGAGAATATTACTGGTTTGAAGTTGTTATCATCTGGAGATGTCCTGGAGAATATTACTGGTTTGAAATTGTTATCATCTGGAGATGTCCTGGAGAATATTACTGGTTTGAAGTTGTTATCATCTGGGGATGCCCTGGAGAATATAACTGGTTTGAAATTGTTATCATCTGGAGATGCCCTGGAGAATATTACTGGTTTGAAGTTGTTATCATCTGGAGATGTCCTGGAGAATATTACTGGTTTGAAGTTGTTATCATCTGGAGATGCCCTGGAGAATATTACTGGTTTGAAGTTGTTATCATCTGGAGATGTCCTGGAGAATATTACTGGTTTGAAGTTGTTATCATCTGGAGATGTCCTGGAGAATATTACTGGTTTGAAATTGTTATCATCTGGAGATGTCCTGGAGAATATTACTGGTTTGAAATTGTTATCATCTGGAGATGTCCTGGAGAATATTACTGGTTTGAAGTTGTTATCATCTGGGGATGCCCTGGAGAATATAACTGGTTTGAAGTTGTTATCATCTGGAGATGCCCTGGAGAATATTACTGGTTTGAAGTTGTTATCATCTGGAGATGTCCTGGAGAATATAACTGGTTTGAAGTTGTTATCATCTGGAGATGTCCTGGAGAATATTACTGGTTTGAAGTTGTTATCATCTGGAGATGTCCTGGAGAATATTACTGGTTTGAAATTGTTATCATCTGGAGATGTCCTGGAGAATATTACTGGTTTGAAGTTGTTATCATCTGGAGATGCCCTGGAGAATATTACTGGTTTGAAGTTGTTATCATCTGGAGATGCCCTGGAGAATATTGCTGGTTTGAAGTTGTTATCATCTGGAGATGTCCTGGAGAATATTACTGGTTTGAAGTTGTTATCATCTGGAGATGCCCTGGAGAATATTACTGGTTTGAAATTGTTATCATCTGGAGATGCCCTGGAGGATATTACTGGTTTGAAGTTGTTATCATCTGGAGATGCCCTGGAGAATATTACTGGTTTGAAGTTGTTATCATCTGGAGATGCCCTGGAGAATATTACTGGTTTGAAGTTGTTATCATCTGGAGATGCCCTGGAGAATATTACTGGTTTGAAGTTGTTATCATTGGGTCAAGACGATAGGCTGATTTGCCTTCTTGAGTATTGTTATACCACATCCATCAACGATAGTGACGAGTCCTCATGTGAATCTACCTAACACTCAGTTCTCAGTACAAAAAGAAACTCCCATCAATTATACACGGATAATCTATTGTGAAGACTGTGAAACCGACACCATCACTCGATTCGAGTGATGGTGTCAATAAAGGCTCTTCTAGCCTTTATTGTTTCTTCAAATTAATGACCACATCCCCTGGTTCATTCCCTGAATTACCCCTTAACCTACACAATGTTTTCAGTCAGTCCAGCTGCTCACATGGCAGATAACAGGTGGAGATTGATGAAAGTGTTTGATTGATACAGTGTCTGATGTCATGGTTTATGGTAATTAGTAAGCCTTATATTTTCAAACCATGGATGGTTGAAAGAACAAATTATACGGTTTCGCTTTTGACCTGGTTATTTCGACGTTCTTGGCCCCTAATAAACCAAAACCTGAAGTCAGAACGGTTTGGTTGATTAACCGCGCGGGGTAACGCGCAAAGTCACGTGACTAATTCAACTAGGGGCGAGAAAATCCTTTGTCACAGTAATGTCGCTGCGCGCTACATAAAATAACATTTTGGGTTGGACCGGTGTACTGGTCACACGCGTGTTTTGCTTCTTACCCATACGGCAGTGGCGCGCAGTTCCAAAGATAGAATTTAATTTTGTGACTGCGTTAGTGCTTGCGGGTCCTACATCATGCGGTTAACATTTTAAGCGAAGGAATAAAAATCTCAGAATCGTTGACGGAGGAGGCAAGATTATCCCGCCTTCCATTGAGCAACAACTATTCAAAACATTGAGTAAAAATAGAAACACACCTTTGAGAAGTGTTTCGTTGAGAGGATGAAACTTGTTATGATGTTCAATACTCTTCAACCATGCGACCTGAAACACACAGCTCAGCGTGAGTTGGCTTATTTACACTGTCAAGGAAATTGTTCGGTAAATTGTTGAATATGTAATAATATCTTGTATTATTTGAAGGAATACCTAGTATATAACAGTACATTGAAAGTTGAAACAGTCCTTCAATTCATCCTCAATGACGTATTTCATGTTGTATGAAATGAAACACTTCGATAAATACAAACTGACACTAACAAGAACAACTAACGAAAAATCTTAAAACCTTCCAGGGAAATTTTTTGCAGTTTTACTGTTTCACCACTTCCATTTTGAAATTACCCTATTTAGGATTGTAGAAAACTTCTTATAGTCAGAAATTTTGGGAACTCTCTGGAATGATTCCTGGGACCTGTCCCGAAAATTTCCCGTTAAATCGCTTTGTTGCGAATTTTGTCTGACAAAAAGACATATTTGACTGTACTAATTTCTAAAAACTAACTTCTTATCTATCACATACCTCTTGTTCTAGGAGAGAGTCGCTGTTACAAACGATTATATTATGATGTGCGGCACAGGCGAGGATTCTACTGAGTAGTCCGAAGTAGAAACAACTGTTATCACCATAGTCCTCTGTGAAACATTAAACAAAGGATTAGCTAATAATATGTGGTATTATGTGGTAATAAGTGGTAAAGTGGTAATATGTGGTAAAGTGGTAATATGTGGTAAAGTGGTAATATGTGGTAATATGTGGTAAAGTGGTAATATGTGGTAACATGTGGTAAAGTGGTAATATGTGGTAAAGTGGTAATATGTGGTAATATGTGGTAAAGTGGTAATATGTGGTAATATGTGGTAATATGTGGCAATATGTGGTAATATGTGGTAATATGTGATTTTTTTGTTTCAAATGAGGTGTCAATTTTATTTGAAGATCATGAAGTAAGTTGTCAAGGGTTTTTAGATTGTTTGACAGCGACTGAACTCAATTGCTCACTCATATAACCATTATATTGGAATGTGAAAGAAAGATAATATCCAATTTGGTAATTAGTTAGCTATTCCCACTATTTAGTAATCAGTAATTAGTAATTAGTATTTAGTTAACTATCTAGAAACCTGTCTTGTGAAGGTTATCAAATAGAAGCTTGATAACATCGAGGACGCTTTTCCCAGCCACGCAACACTTTACACACATTATATAGAGCTGATCCGATACTACCTGCGATAATTAATTATTTAATAAGATAATTAATAAATAAATAAATTAATAAGATAATTAACCTAATATAATGTTCATGTTTCAAAATCTAAATTAACGAATCAAAGCCAAGACTTTCGGAATAGTGATTACTGTAATTTAACACTCTTCAAGATTACGAGACAACATAATACGTCATCATGCGCGGTATGTAAATGAAATTTAAGAGAATTACAAAAAAATAGAGTCATTAGTAAGACTGATCACGCACATCACAGTTTCAAAGAACGATTAAGTTATATTAAATTATATAATCTTGTTAAATTACATAAAGTTTGATTACAAAGTTAGTTAACTGATCTAATGGCTTAGTAGGTGATACCTGTCGGACAAACTGACTGGAGCACAATAACAAACCTGTCGGACAAACTGACTGGAGCACAATAACAAACCTGTCGGACAAACTGACTAGAGCACAATAACAAACCTGTCGGACAAACTGACTGGAGCACAATAACAAACCTGTCGGACAAACTGACTGGAGCACAATAACAAACCTGTCGGACAAACTGACTGGATCACAATAACAAACCTGTCGGACAAACTGACTGGAGCACAATAACAAACCTGTCGGACAAACTGACTGGAGCACAATAACAAACCTGTCGGACAAACTGACTGGAGCACAATAACAAACCTGTCGGACAAACTGACTGGAGCACAATAACAAACCTGTCGGACAAACTGACTGGAGCACAATAACAAACCTGTCGGACAAACTGACTGGAGCACAATAACAAACCTGTCGGACAAACTGACTGGAGCACAATAACAAACCTGTCGGACAAACTGACTGGATCACAATAACAAACCTGTCGGACAAACTGACTGGAGCACAATAACAAACCTGTCGGACAAACTGACTGGAGCACAATAACAAACCTGTCGGACAAACTGACTAGAGCACAATAACAAACCTGTCGGACAAACTGACTGGAGCACAATAACAAACCTGTCGGACAAACTGACTGGAGCACGATAACAAACCTGTCGGATAAACTGACTGGAGCACAATAACAAACCTGTCGGACAAACTGACTGGAGCACACGAGTATCATGTTTACGATAAATTCCTTGAATTCCTCGTTCACCAACAGGTCCTCCAGGATAAGAGGCTGATGCATAAAACAAATCGTCAGATTCTCCATCAGCTCCTGGGGACAAACAGCTGGTTTAATGTTTATATATAAACATTAATAGTATATATATCATACTAATTAGTTAGTATTGGGCACCGTATTGTGTAAATTATTTAGTTATATTTTATACAATATCTTTGTCGCATAGTAATTAGTAGCGGGGTAGTAAATACAGTGCTTCGTTTCGTTTCGTAGCTGGTTTTCAACAGGCCATCAAACGGTTCTTTTTAAGTTTTTAACGGTTAACATCAGATATATTCTTATCTAATCAGTGTTAATTGTGGTTTGAATGACTATTATGTGGCGTCTGGATAATCCTTGGAAAGACCTTGTAGAGTACAAGTATTTTAATAATTCCTGTTTTCAAGCAATTTTCTTCCAAACAGTTGTTAAATTATCTCTCACCAAACAAATTATGATTATTCCTAGTTTTGAGGTTTTTAACGATCTGAGTAATCACTAAACAAACGTATTATCGACTAATTATCAACTAATTATCAACTAATTATCAACTAATTATCAATTAATTATCAACTAATTTTCAACTAACACGTGTATAATTAACAAACGTATTATCAACTAACACGTGTATAATTAGAAAATGGGACATGCCACGAACATAGTGGTTTAAAACATTCCACCCAACTGCTGACAATAATACATCTTACTACATATTATATCATATACCCTATAATAAATATATATAATTATATAAATATATTATATCTGTTGTCATTTTACTGACACAACTTAATACTTTATCATTAAATATCGCGACCTTATCAATAAATCAATTAAACTATTAATTGATTAATTGATTAATTAGCTCACCTGGGCCAGCCAGACATCCTCAAAAAGTATGTTGTTGTTGATTGTAGCCTCATTTACTATAATAGGATGTGGTAACAAGTCGTATCCAAACGCGCATCTTCGTGTCAAACGAAATATCGCCTGTTAAATGTGAACGGTTACAGTTGATTTTGTCGCATTCAAATAAATTATTCCGTTTTATTTTAAGTAAATTTGATATTTAGATAACTTTGAAGATATTGTTGTGTATACAAATTCATTAAGGTTAAATTGTAAAAGGCTGAACAAACAATATTTAGTTATAAATTTACATGAAAAAACTATGTACAATAATTTTGTGATCTTGTCAAAACATTAAATTAATGCAATCTAATCGATCGATTATCTAAATTATAATTACTAGCAGGAACCCGTCTAACCCTAAAGTGGTGTCAAGACTCAAGAGACTAAAATAATTATTACCTATCTAATTCGCGTTTTTGACACCACTTGGGGGTCCAAATTTTGGGCTCTAAAACTCCTATTTCTTGGCCAATTTTTTATTTTTTCATGCTGATTTGAAGGCCATTAAAGCATTTGACCCAGTCAAAAAAGGTTCAGTTGTATATCTTTTACGGTTTTTGCGGAAAGTCGTGTTAAAGTTGATACCGTGGTGTCATATAGTAAGATAATGTCCTGATAGTCAGTACCTGGATGTATTATCAACTAATTATCAACTAGTTATCAACTAATTATCAACTAATTATCAACTAATTATCAACTAATTATCAACTAATTATCAACTAATTATCAACTAATTATCAACTAATTATCAACTAATTATCAACTAATTATCAACTAATTATCAACTAATTATCAACTAATTATCAACTAATTATCAACTAATTATCAACTAGTTATCAACTAATTATCAACTAATTATCAACTAATTATCAACTAATTATCAACTAATTATCAACTAATTATCAACTAATTATCAACTAGTTATCAACTAGTTATCAACTAATTATCAACTAATTATCAACTAATTATCAACTAATTATCAACTAATTATCAACTAATTATCAACTAATTATCAACTAATTATCAACTAATTATCAACTAATTATCAACTAATTATCAACTAATTATCAACTAATTATCAACTAATTACCTGGATATACTTCAAGGTAGGGACAGCTTGCTCATTCTTTTGTAGTCTCTCTAATACAAGTTCATTCTGTACGGTGTGATGTGCTGCGTTCCTTAGCACTGGTGGGGAAAGTAATGAGTTTTAGGAGGCAGCCCGGAGGAAAGTTTGTGATCTTTATTTCAAAATTCAAATAAATTTTACATCAACGTATTACAATTATATATTTTTGTCATTTACACACGAACAAAATATCTACAATGAGGCAAAAATATGACATTAAATTTTGATGTTTTATACTTGGAATTTCTCTTGAAAATTGGAAAGTTGGAAAGGTGCTTGCAAAGGTGCAATCAAAATTTTCTGAGAAACAAGCTCCTATTTGTTATTGGAATCTCTTCTCAATTGCGTCAAAAATATGCAACGGAATGCGGATGTGGCAAGCTAAAATGTAATGATCATTAAATAATTAACCACGTTCAATTGCAGGGTTGGGAATGCTGGTGAGAGAGTTCTGGAGGTTCAGAGCGGCTCGAGATGACGGAGTATTCTTCTGAAATATTATTTACTTAAACTTAACTTAAATATTAAAATTGTAATTTTGTGGCATTACCTTCGCTACTTTTATATTGAAATCAATTCTAATAAACTGTACCTGATAACGTTTGCAGATAACAAACCTAATTCCTGTTTTAAAGCCTAAAAATTTTCGCAAACCCGAATAAGAATGTAAAAAAATGTAAAAAAAGAAAAAGAAAAAAGAAAAGAATGTACACAAACCTTGAACAAAGCAAGAGTTCCATAACACAGGGTGGTGAGAACAAACTTTGTTATCTTCGCAAAGATATGCAGACAGCTCCTCCTCGTTTGCTTATCCGCTCCACAGAGGAATCGCTCGTTTTGCAGTAGAGATAAAACTGTTTCTACACCACCTAGACAGGGATCATGACGTCATTGTTGGGTTATGATGACGTCACTTTCGTTAAATTTCAGAAAGTTTAGAGTTTTGTATCATGATCAGAAGTTGAGGGATGGGTTGGTAAAAACCTCGATTACGTAATATATGGAGGGGGGGGGGGGGGGTTCGGTCTTGATTACGGTTGATTACGGAGGGGGGGGGGGGTCAAAATTGCCAAAATATTGATTACGTAATATGTGAACGACCCCTAAGCAGACTCGCATACCAGAGAATTTGAGGTTTGTATCATGATCAGAAGTTGAGAAGGGCCACATTTTCAGATTCTTACCGGCAAGAATGAAGTCTGTTCTGAACTTGACACTCTTAGCTGAGGGAACAGCAGGCATGAGTAACGCGTACACTATCTCTAGCTTGTACCTGACGCCACCACAGTTGGAGTCCAGGAATATAGCGGTGGAGAGGGAGCTGTCTGTTGCTGCTGGAGCTGGGGTCTGGGGTATCAGGGGTTAGTTAGGGGTATCGGGGGTTAGTTGGGGGTATCAGGGGTTAGTTAGGGGTATCGGGGGTTAGTTAGGGGTATCGGGGGTTAGTTGGGGGTATCGGGGGTTAGTTGGGGGTATCGGGGGTTAGTTAGGGGTATCGGGGGTTAGTTGGGGGTATCGGGGGTTAGTTGGGAACTGGGGGTATGTGGGTTTAGTTGGGAACTGGGGGTTAGCCGGGGTAGGGAGTTTATTGCGGTATAACTTAAGTTAAGTGTTAGCTGTAAGGTATCCGTATATTGGCTAAATTATCTAACACATTGTATATCAACTTGTCGGGGGGGGGGGGGGGGGCTAAGTTTACCTCTGTGTTCTCATCTTGTGATTGTACCACCTCCGTAGCCTGAGTAGCAGCTAGCTCTGTTATATCCTGCTCTATCTCCATATCTGGGAGGGAGTTTATAAAAATCAAGGAAACAAGTTCAAGTGAAACCTACGAGAGCAGAATACACACCTGACATACAAATTATTGATTAAAAATACCTGAAATACCTGAAATACCTGAAATACCAGACAAAGAACTGAATGAGGAATCGAATAGGTACCTGTAGGGAATATGTTGAGGATAGCAGTGACAGCATCACACAGGTCTATCTGCTTGTGATGCATTGCTACGTCGCTCACGTACAATAACCACGGGATGTATTTGGTTTGCTTGATAGGACTACCTGGTGTTGCAGTTTGTTATCTAGAGCTCTAAAATAACTTACGTAGCTTACATAGTTACCATAACTTACACGTAGTTACCATAACTTATAAGTTAGATTTTAGGTAGCTGATTGACAAGTTATTCAAAATAATTGAAATATTAAATAAAATCCACCCACAAACCATCAATTGTCAATTTATTACTATTATCATTTATTTCTACATCTTATCTCTGATTTTTTGAGTGAACAGAAACAGCTGATCAGGGTAAAAAAGGGTAAAAAAGGGTAAAAAAGGGTAAAAAAGGGTAAAAAAGGGTAAAAAAGGGTAAAATATGACACTAACAAGGACTGTTGAAGAGGTCGGCGGAGCTGGTACTGGAACTGCTGGGAGAGTTGATGTGGAGTGACGTCATCACACGCACAGTCAGCACTTGTCTGTCTTTTAGATCTAGCTGTATCAGCGCCTTTCTGTCCAGTGACGGCGCCAGTTCCTCGTTGTTAACTCTGAAGGTTTTTCGTAGAGTTAACTTGGAAATTTAAGTTAATTTATCAAGCAATAGGGAACACTTTTTTAATTTAAAAACTTATTATAGGATTAAGATCATTTCATCAATCTTTATTTTTATATAAAAGTAAAGGCTGCACCACATTATTTTAGAATAAATTAAACATTTGTAACCATTTCATTGCCATCATTAATATAATCAATCTTAACAATTAGTTAAATTATAACTTATTAGTTATTAGTTAAACTATAACTTAGTGATGCTAATTATAAAGATACTGTCTAATCTAGGTAAACTATAGGTAAAAATATAATATTAATCATAAGCTTAAATGTACTAATCTTTGTATTCTAAATGGGGAAAATAAGAAACATTGTCAGTCAGTCGAAAAAATTGTCAGTCAGGCTATATGGCAGCTTTGTAGATGTTGTGACAATGCTAGTAGTGGTCCCAGGCTTGCAACTGGAATTGCGGTGTTAAATCGATTTAACGGTATACCAACGATCCACCTCCCACTTGTTGTTTGGTACTTAGCATTAATAGTGTTAAAATAAAAACTCACTTCAGCTGTATGTGAGGGGGTGTTGGTGGAACCTCGTTCTTACAAATGTGAGCTACAAGGTTCCTTCTGATGGTTCCTAGAGTTTCGTTAGTGTGGGTTAGGACTTCTATATTCTCCAGCACCTGTGAGTGTTAATTAGTTAATTAATATTAATTAATACAGAATATTACAGATAATTCAATAAGTCAATGAGGAAGTTTTGTGGATTCCTATAATAATTCCTATTGTGGATTCCTTATAAGGGCCCATGCTTGTGCAGGAGCTGCATTTGCACTCAATATCTGTGTTTTGGTGACCCTCAGGTCCTTTGGTTACATACATTTTGTCCGAGACAATTTCAACTTTGACAATCCATGCTTAGAGGACAATATTATATTTAACTAATTCATTGTGTAAACTTGTATGTAATTGACTGATTTGAAAGATTTCAATAAAAAATAAATTGTTTAACATACAATTTATGATCCGTTAAAATGATCAGTTAAACGGCTAAGATCGTCAATAATGCGAATATTAAATCAGCATAACTGATTAAACAATTCTCAGCAGAACAAGTAATGATACAAAAATAAATCCTTGTGTTTGACCTTATCGTGAGGTCCAAGTAGCTGTGCGATGATGATGACAGGTATTCCCTGCCAGGATCTTTCGTGTGAGGGAGTTGTCATACCCTCATGTACCACCCCGGTCACACCTGTACACGTGATACGAGTTATGGCAGGGGAGGGGGTTACAGGTTGGGGGGGGGGGGTGTTACACGTTGAGGGGGGGGGGGGGGGGGGGGGAGAAAGTTACATATTGACTATTGAGCCCCAGATAATGAGAGAGGGTATTATCTGGGGCTCAGTGCTCAATAGAAGCATTTTGTATTTACTTCTGATCAGTGTTTATGTTTCAAACTTTATCCAATTTAAAAAAGCTCATAAATTTTAATTTTTTAGGTCTCTGGAGAACCAACGTCCTCATGTTAAATACATCTAAATTTAAAACTAAATACCTTAAATACTTTAATAAATAGTGAAAATACCTAGATTTACAACATCATTCTAACTTTTTAACACTTACTTTTGTCCATGTTGTCCACCACATACTCCCTAAGCACGTGCAGTATTCTGATTGTCTGTCTAGCCAGGAGCTTTGGGTACTGCTGGACCTGATAAGTCATAAGGATTTAATATGTGAGTTTTATACGTCATATTATCTTGCTTTTTATATTAATTATTGAATCACAATGGTTCTTTTTCTTATCAAACTATTGAGCATAATGCATTGTTTATTCATAGTTTGAGCATGAATAGCTTTGTTTAAAATGTTTCTATCAATATCGTTATTATTATTCTAACAACCTAAACAGCAGAATCACAATTATTGCATTGCTGGATTACTTGTAAGTAGTCACTAAATATTGATAAAACGCGAGTGATGAAAAATGAAATTAATACAATATTATATTCACTGATAAAGACACAGCAAACTTAAGAATAAAACTACATTAGAACTAACCCAGAGGTTAGTCTACATATCTTACCTCGTATTGATAAAAACATTGCCGAGCTTTCGTAAAACACGTCTTGATAAACTCGTTATGTCTAACAAACTGAAATGAATTTGACCGATTGAAACCTTTAATTTGAGACCTTTACTTTGAGACCTTTAATTTGAGACCTTTAATTTGAGACCTTTAATTTGAGACCTTTAATTTGAGACCTTTAATTTGAGACCTTTAATTTGAGACCTTTAATATACTTACCCTATCATAACCTTACATATTATAACAATAAGAATAAATTGAAGTTTAATAACACCACTATTAAGATAAACTTATACTCAGCAGTGTTTAATCTAGTCATCCCAGAAACTTTCATAATATAATACTTGAAAATATATCGTTTATACTAAAAACAGACTTATGCTCCTGGAAGAACCTTAATGTTACATTCCCAAGCCCTATACTTTGAGTAGAAAATTGATAAATCATGATCATATTGAAAAATTAATTACAAGCTAATTGATCAGTTAATCAATTAATTACTCATCAAATCACCTGGTTAGTAACAGTAGCACTACTGTAGATATCTTTGAGAAGTGCTATAGAATACTCAGTCAGCTCCTCTCTACCTTCTATCACTAATCGCCAGATGTAATCAGTTCCTGAGTTGATGTTAATAGAATGATTTACTAATTGGTAATTAACTAATTAAGTTGGTGATAAACTTAATAAATATAATTGTTAACTAATTGATTAATCGATTGATAAAGATGTTTGGATCATGACCAACAGCAAAAAAAAGGATTCCCAACACTGCAGTGCATGGTAGTCTTAATTCTTGATCCCTAAATAAAGTCTTGTGTCGCAGACCCCCCGCCCCCCCCCCCCCCCCCCCCCCGCCCCCAGCCCTCCGCAGAACTTCTTACCAATAAAAGGTTCGCATTCCTCATCCGGTAGTTTCTGACTGTTCTTTGTTTCTCTGATCTCATTCTCATTAACTTCTTTGAAATAGTTCTCGAAACATCTGCAACATTATAAAGATTGTAAAGGAATAGGCTAGGCTGAGTAATAAGCTTTATCAATTGGCTCTAGTCGTGAAACAGATTTTAAACAAGGATCCCATTAAATTACATGCTTAAAACACTAATACCAAACATTGAATTGTGAAGGTTCGGCGAATAATATTATATAATAATAATATGTTATAATATTATTATATAATGATATTATGTTATGATATTATATATTATAAACCTCAGTCCTGGTTCGGTGTAGGTGGCAGGATCGAGTGCTAACATTTTCTCCACGAACAGTTGCTTACTAACACAGGCCTCTATGTCTGAGTCTTCCCCCACTAACTCTCCAAACCTGAGGAGTGTTCCTTACTTACTTTTTAATACTTTCAACACTATAATAATAACACTACTAACTCTCCAAACCTGAGGAGTGTTCCTTACTTACTTTTTAATACTTTCAACACTATAATAATAACACTACTAACTCTCCAAACCTGAGGAGTGTTCCTTACTTA